CACCCTCTCGCCACCTGACTTCTCAGTATCTGCAGACTACTAGAGAGAGAGAGAGATTGGTGACTTTGGGACTTGACGACATTTGGATCCAGACTCCACATTGGGATTGAGACATTGGACGAGGGATTATTTGGGACCTGTACCGAAGACTTGGTGTTGACGACATTCCCATCTTCCCCTCTTCTTCATCTAACCCCCCTCTTCTTCGTCGGCATATGGTTGGGGACTGGCGCATTCTTCCTGTGTGAGCGCCAGGCCCCTTCACACCATGGAATGATGATGACGTATGTTTGGTCTGCATTGCAACATTGATTGTTCGGATCATTGGTATATTAGCCTTCCACTGCGCTATCTTGTACTATGTGAGAGAGGTTGATTCTTGTTCTGGTCTGCACCTTTACGGTATGCGACAGCGGGTGAAGCATTCCTCAGATGGCTTCACTTTTACCCCAACCCACTTAGACCATTGGTTAATTGTCCATTCCCGGAGTGGAAGGTCATGAGGTCAAGCTCCTTTAATGGAATTCGAGTGTGGCTATGTGCATATGGTGACCGAACGCAGTAACCTACATGCACTGTTGCCCATGTGCTGGCCAAATGATATGTGTGTGTGTGTGTGTGTGTGTGTGTGTGTGTGTGTGTGTGTGTGTGTGTGTGTGTGTGCGTGTGTGTAAACAAAAAACAAATGCGTACTGCATCGACAACCCATTTTACTGGGAACAGCATGTATACGTTTCCCATTCCCATTCAGATTTGCAATAACGACAATCCCAAGAGCAGGTCATTTCAATCACCAAAGATAATTTCTATTCAAAAAGCAGGACATCAGCGAACAACCAGCAATAGAATCGAAAAAGGCTCAACCACTTAGGGGTTGTTTCCGAGCACGCGCGCGCGCGCGAGAGAGAGAGAGAGAGAGAGAGAGAGAGAGTCCTTCACCTAGTGATCCAATCATCAACAAGAGGAGAAGGGGGTAGGCGCATCCCCTGAAGCGCTTTTCGTCGTCTGCGCCTTTGGACGGCTCATCAGAGGGCACATGGACTTGGAGTCCAGTCTCCGGGAGAGGGGGTGGAAAAAGAGGAGAAGGAGAGGCTGAGTGAATACTGGGGGGAAAGATGCGTAGAAGACGAAGAAGGAGGCATATGATCAAATGGGAGGACTTGTACGTCTGCAACTGGTCCAATTACCAGCGAAGTAGGGTCGTTCCTTCGTAGATCGCTGAGGTGAATGTGAGTGAGGAGAGACAGGGAAGGGACTGGCGTCACAGCGTGGACTCGTGGAGGGCTGATGTTATAGTTTGGTCCTGGTTAGGAAGTGCGTGTTGTGAGGACGAGTGAGGAAAGATGGGAGAGTGAGGAAGGAGCCTGCGGGTAGGCATTAGCGCCATAGTGGGTGAACGTGGGTGCGGGAGTTGTAAGGTTGGGTCAAGTGACCAGGGGGTATGAGGATGGCGGCGCATCTGGCTGCAGGGGGTAAGTCCAGGGCTAGTGTTGTTCTGATTTTAGAGATGGTGCATATGCTTGTGCGTTGGTGATGTCAGTATCTGCAAGTGTGTGTCTGGGGCTGGAATTTGGATGTATCGAAGTGAGCGGGGGGCTCTTTGCAATGAGTGTTGGCGTCCGGGAGTGAAGGGATGAGTCAGGCAGAAGTACTGTCTCAGTTTTCTGGGAGCTAGTGAATTATCGGCGGGTATGGTGGTTGGTTGTTCATCTTTTGTGCGCAAGTCTTTCGGGCAAAAAGGTTTTAACGTTTTGCGAAGTCGCTTTTACAGATCATCCAGGGTTTGCGGGGCTCGGTGTGGCCCGTTGTGTTGTCTTGTCGTGGGCTTTCTCTTTTTTTTCTTTTTTTTTTAAATGTGGGTCCAGGTGGATAGCCGCAGGGCGGACTGAAAAGAAGGAACGCTTTTTTCTATTTTGAAGTTTAAGGGATGGGGGAAAGAAAGGGCAAGTTTTGCAGGTCCGGGTGGATAGCTGCAGGGGTGGCTGATAGTCCGTATTGGAGTGAGGTATTTTTTTGCGGGTGAGGCTGCCGACGTAAATGGACAGGTTATGGGTTTGTGTATAAGACAGCCAGGTCCGGGTGACGAGTGAAAGGAAAGGAAACAGGGGGTGTTTTTTGGAAAAACTATGGCTATGGGTTGGTAGTTGACCAGTCTAGGTTGTGGGGTGCAACAGGTGCTATGGTAGGTGGGAGAGCTGCTGGGGTAGAGTGCTTCTGATAGTGGTGATGTCTTTCCTTTTTTTTTTTTGTTATTATTAGTATTTGTTTGGGGGTTGGGGTATTTTTTTAGTTGGGGGTGTCTTTTGGTGAGGGGAAATGGTCATGTTTTTTTTTTTTTTTAAGGGAGAACTGTCATAAGGCTTTTGGTGGGGGATGGTGGGAGGGGGAGCTTACAGGCATGGGCCGAGAAGGGAGTAGTGCTGTATACTTTGCTTTTTTGAGCTAGGTTTGGGTTCAAAACAGGACGGGTTCTTTGTTTTGCTGAATTAGTATCATAGGATCCTGTAGCCGATCAGTGCCACCTGCCAACTCCAGGGACTGTTTTTTGCTGATGGCGAAACAACAAAAAAAAAAGAAAGGAAAAAAAGGATCCTGTACATCCAACTGATGGCTACATTTGTACATGTGTCTTTATGTATCTTTGAGTGTTCTATTGAAACAAAGTGAGGTTATTCTCCCATGTTTATATGTGTGTGTGAGTCTGTATGTATGTGTGCGTTTTCTTGAAAGGTAAGTGTCTATATTTATGTATGTCTGTAAGTTTGTGTGTGTGTGTGTGTGTGTGTGTGTGTGTGTGTGTGTGTGTGTGTGTGTGTGTGTGTGTTATGTCGGGTCATGGAGTAAACCATGGCATAGAGTATCCTCAGTGGACTTCACTTTCACCTTCACCCACTTATCCTATTGGCTCCGATCTATTCGTGGGGAGCAGCACGTGCTGGGAACCGGGACCACCAGTACGTTTGCGAGCCATTTTTCTCCAACACGGCTCCATGCCTGCCGCAAGTTTCGAGGTCGGCCTACCGGGGAAAAACGACTGGCGGCACTAGCCAAAACAAGGCCGGCGGCACTAGCCAAAACAAGGCCCATGCCTGTTCATCATTTTTTGGTGCGCAGGGCGTTTCCCGGCGAGGCAAGGGAACAGTAAAGAGTACTGGTGGTTTCAGTTTCCGCTTCCTGTGCAAAAGGACGCAAGTTTGATTCCTTGGGTGGTGTTCGTGTGTGGCTACATCCATTAACAGTGATGAATGGAGTAACCTTTGTGCATTGGCGGCCACAACAGAACTGCCCGGTAAATGGTAAGCAGAGAGGGAGAAGAGGACAACAGACGAGGGGCTGTGACACTGTTTTGTCGGAGTTGCACCGACTCGTCATAGATATAGAGTATATACTTTGTCAAAAATCCATCAACGAAAAGAGCGCACTTTGCGGAAAAATACACAACACAACACAAACATGAAGAGCACACTGAAACCATTCTTTTAGCTCCCCCTTAGCTGTGCCATGTTGATGAAGTTGAGCACAAGCTGCCCTCGTCCACATGTGCCAGAACGGCCCACTTGTACACATTGTGAAAAAGAGGCAGAGCAAAAGGGGTGGGGACAAACAGAGAGGGGGAAAAAATGGAAAGAAGACAAAGCAAAGGAAGACGAAGGGAAAGAAAAGGAAAACACTCAGGAATAAGGGGAAAGTGAGGAGTGTGGAATCAAAATGAAGCACAGGAAAAGATAAGAAGGCGTCTCAAGAATCAGTCTGTCATTGACGACAGATAGGATTTACACCATGAGGATGAGATGGACGAGGACATGGAAGACCTAGCTGAGCATTCTCAGTACAAGAATTGCCACGAAGTGGCATGTCAATTGCAGGCCAACATGAAGGAAGAACGGGCACCACAAAAGACCATACATTCAATGTAACGCTCATGGCCGCAAAATGGACATATAGTGTCCGAATGCGGAGGGTTCATGCAGTCAGGAAAGGAGGGACAGTCCTCTGCACACATGGATGCACAAACCATGTCATTGTAGTGATCATGGCAGAGACGATGACGGCTGCAGCTGAGTGTAGCAGTGTTTGTAGCTGTGCAAAGGAGAAGGTCGCAAAGTGTCCATACGTTGTCTTGCTGCGGCACAGGGGCAGAGAAATGATCTTCTTGGACGTAAAAAGAAGTGTGCGGACGGTTTGTTGTGCCAAGAAATCTGTAACATCAGTCATGGCATGAACCATGGTGCCGTTGTCCCACAACTCCCAGTGGTCAGAGGCATGTACTATGACCATGTAATGGGCCAGATCCGTGTACAATGCAGGCAGAGATGTGGGATGGTGGATGAAACCACTCACCTGCCTCAGCATTGCGTAGTTCAAGTTGGCGGTCCCTCATGTTACTTGTAGGGACGCAATTGTAATTTGTTAAAGCCTCTTTCCTTGGTGTAACTACAATCCTCTGGCTATACGCGGAAGATCAACATCAAGCCGAAGGGCAATTGCAAGAAAGTCCGATGTTGTATATGGGACGCTGGGCCCGGTTCCCAGCACATGCTGCTCCCCACGAATAGATTGGAGCCTTGTTCCACCCCCCCACCCACCCACCCCCCCCCAAAAAAAAAAAAAAAAAAAAAAAAAAAAAACTAAAAAAAAAACAAAGGAAAAAAAAAAAAAAAAAAAAAAAAAAAAAAAAAAAAAAAAAAAAAAAAAAAAAAAAAAAAAGAAGAAGTATAAAGCGGGTGGCTCAGAACCTGCAGACCGAAGGGTATTAGTTGCAGCCCGACCACAGAGATTGGAGGGGGTCTCGGGCTGGAGTGGCGCGTGCTGGCCAACAATTTGTGGATTTCACCCAAATGGTGCCGCAACTTGCAAGCCCAAATTGTTATGGGATGGGCTGTTTGCTGGTCAAATACAATGATAATGACAGTACATTCTATTCAGGTGGTGAAGACAGTAGCTTCAGCACATACCCTCGAGAATTAGGGGCGATGGCTACCTATTGGGGGAATTACAAA